TGCACATGCACAGTTCTCTCCCGTGGCAGTGCTGTGTATGCGGGCCCGTTACGTACACGCCCAGCTAAAAGTGTCTAGTAATCCAGTGACACGGCGGCACAGCTACCGCGTTCCGCAAACCGAGCGATATCGATCACACGTTAACGGGCTGCCGCTGACACACGCCGCTTCTCCCGGGGATAAAAGGGGGAGCGGCGCTGACCCTGCAGGCGCGTGGCGGCGTCGCCTGCTGACCCTTCAGGCGGCGCCCTCCCCCGCCGACCTTGCCTCGTCACCCACGACCGGCGCCCCCCATTGTTTCCGGCTGGCTCCGTTCACTCCTCGTTCCATGTCCATTCACACGACCGCGGTGCCAGCACGAGGGATCCGCCGCACTGGGTGTGTGGGCCACCCGGAACTTTCTCAGGCTTGTCGGCGTCATTAGAGCTCTCGCCAAGAACACGGGCGTCGAAATGCTCATTACGAGCAGCGGTACTCTGCACACCGTGTGCCCAGCGTCTCCCGCTACACCGCGCAGAGATTTGACGAGCGCGCGCTGTCACAGTGCCGTGATGTACGCGCCGGGGGGGCAACTAAAATTAGCGCCGCTGAGGAGAAAGGAAGCGGTGTCGCTCTCTGATTTTAGAACGTAAGGCCGAATGTCCACTCTCGTCAATTACGGTCAGCGCTAACGCTGGTTGGACTGACATTGTGTGAGGAGCGGGTGAAACAAAAAAAAAAAAAAAGAAGAAGAATGACGCTCGTGTCTCGAACAGACGCGTTCACCTCCTTCCACGCATCCTTCCACGCCGGCGTCGCAAGAATCACGCTCGTCTATCGTAGTTTTGACCAGGGTTCCCTAGGCTGAGCGTTACTGTTCTGCTTCGTACCGACCATGACATTTGGAACTGTAGAAAGCACTCCGTAATTGACGGAGGCGGGACGACGGCTGCCGACGAAAAGCGTTCGATCACCGAACCGTGCGTCCGTTCTTCTTCCCAGTACCACCGGCCGAGACCCACATTCGTGTTTTCCTCGTTTAGTTCAACACTGAGGCTCTCCAGGATATTTTCGTTTTATTTTTCATTTTTGGCTCGTGCGGCGCGTCTTTGTTCACTCGCCCTGAACATGAGATGACCTGGAACGCCGTGCAAAGCGACTGCTGAGTTCGAGATTTGCGAGAGTGGGGAAAAAAAAAAAAAGCCCGCCGGTTAATAGAAAACACACGTTGCTGTGCTTCGCTAGCTGGGTCTTTAGCGTGCCTTTAAAACGTGGCATCTTGCATCCTTCGGCAGCTTAGTTACTTAGTTTTTACATGTGCTTTTTTGTTGGTGTTTTGTTGGATGACAGTGGTTAGTAGGGTTATGATGTATGTGTGAAAGGATATTGTGCAAAACGTTGTACGGTTAGACATGTATAACAAATATTGTTTTCAAAGTGTGCACATCTGCGAGAAATCATGAAATGATTGCCCATAAATTATATGTATATGTCATTTGACGGTACAACGAGTCGCTATCAATGTATTTTGTTGACTTCGTAAGCTTTATTATTGTATTATGGTAATCAAACTTTTCTGAAGAATGACCGTACTGTTACAGACAAAAAAAAGAAAGCGTAGATGATTCTTCCGTCGCAGGAATTGCTATAACCGCTTCACGTAGGTGAAGCGACACTTCACAAAATTAGTTGGGTCTTTACAGTACGTTAAATCATGAGAGCTTGTACAGTATGATTTTTTTACAACTGCCTTATTTTATTTGGCTGTAGTTTTCTCACAAGAAATCACATTTCAAAGCGGTTGGCAGCAAAAAACTCAGGAATACTTATAATTTAACGGCCCTTACCGTTGTTTACGTGCAACATGCATAAAAAATGAAGAATAATTAAGAGAAATTGGGGAATTAAGCTTCAGTCGCCTTTAGGAGTTGAACGCAATAGCGACACCTTGTCTGTAGTGCGTATACACTCAGTTCAAAATGCCTTGTGTGAGTGAAGCTTTCACGCACGGCTGTACTTTATGTAATGGTTAGCATGCTTTAAATTACCCGCACTTGTGCACGGGAAATCGTTTCGAACTCACTGCGCCTCCACTAGGTGGCCTTAAGGGAAAAAGCGCAGTAACGTGTGCGCCTTTTATAGTGGGCGGCCCGCATTAAACCATGAATTCATAATAACCGCATGGTCAGACACTCGATTGCAATGTACGCATGTACCATGCATTATTACTGCGATATAACATGCTGCATTGTGAAGCACGTATGCAGGACACGTATGTTTGTAAATAATGCAAGCTACTTGCACTGCATTTCCAAGCAGAGGGAATTATTTTAACTTCATTTCCAAGCAACCGCATGGCTCGGTAGTAAAACACTTGGTTGCCACGCAAAACCACCCGAGTTTGATGCTCACTCGGAGCCAGAATTTCTTATTGTTTATTTTATTTGCAACTTTCTCGATTTTTCGACCACGCACAAGATGATTTTTCGCTCACAACTGACGACGCTAACAGCAGAATTTCTGTGAAACGAGCTGTTTAACACTAACGCGTTAAAACACTAAAACAGTGATATTCTCTACAAGTATTCGGATGGCTAGCCCGGTGTAGCGTTCACGTCAGCCAAAGGCGGTGGAAGTTGGCGACGCCAGATTAATCCCTTTTGCGTTCACGCAAAAACCGAGCACTCAATGCTCACACGGATGTGCCGCACGGTGTCGCCTTGACGCATGTACGTTTGCGAAGGACCGGCGTCCCTCTTGTAAAGAATTGCGTGTTTGTCATTTTTTAGGCCATGCACACAAGAAACGGGAGCAGCCATTAAATCTTTATTCTTTCTGAATATTTTCCCGCAAACCGCATTCAAAGCGACTGATTTCAGACAAACCTACAGCCGAATGAAACAGGATCATTTTAAAAGAGCTCCGCCGCGGTGGTCTAGTGGCTAAGGTACTCGGCTGCTGACCCGCAGGTCGCGGGTTCGAATCCCGGCTGCGGCGGCTGCATTTCTGATGGAGGCGGAAATGTTGTAAGCCCGTGTGCTCAGATTTCGGTGCACTTTAAAGAACCCCAGGTGTTCGAGATTTCTGGAGCCCTCCACTACGGCGTCACTCATAATAATATGGTGGTTTTTGGATGTTAAACGCCGGGTATCAATTAATCAATCAATTTGAAAGAAGCACCCGATATACAATGCTTTCTGGTGATTGGCAGATATAGCACCACCTGATGGTGACGCACACAGGAATAAAAATTTAGTGGGACATCTCCGTCCCGACGACTGACGTCCATGATTACGATCTAACCCTTGCGGTAGCTGAAGTTCCTACCATATACCTGGACACAGTGTATAAAGACTTCCGCGCAAAGATAGCCCTAGCAATTACATAATAAACACTGCTGATCGATATGCATTCTTTCGAAGCATTATAAAACGCAGAGATAAACACGATGCTCGTCGTGTGTATTTTCATGACGTATTTCCTTGACAGAAATACGTCATGGGGTCTTGGTGGAACCCAGCATAAAATACTTTCGTGTTAAAGTGAGGCAGCTATGGGTTGAATTAAGCAACTCTATATCGAGAGTGCTTATATAGACTTTGGTGATATTGTCATGGGGTCGTGACGTTGTGAAGGCCGGAGACTGGATGGTCAGATGCGCAAACTGTTTATTTGGGCGAACCTGTGCCCGGTAAACGGCAAGTCGGGTTACAGTAGCACATTTGCACTGATAGCGGCGAACGTGCCGTCGGCCGTCGATCAACTGACAAGTGGCGAAACGTGTCGGCATTTGTACACTCGTCATCGAACATCCTAGCGTTATCGCTAGTAGTGACGTAGATCACAGAATAATCTGAAATGCTCACGAAGTGGGCTTAATCGCAACAAAATGATCTACTGCAGTCCTGAAGCCCCTCGAACACTGTATACGTGCGGTTTGCACTGAGAATTGCGTACAGCGTAAGAGGGTGATAAGAAAAGTTGAGGAAGGTACGTGGCAATATGTTATTCCTGTCATTGTGCCTGCTGCATTGTAAAGCTTAATTACCTTTTAGCGCCTCCTGTTTTAGTGCGCTTAGATTTTGTTTCTTGATTGCTGGTTTCGCGCTTTTTTCCAGCAATTTTCACGCGAAGAGATTTGTTCCTAACGTTTTCATTGTAAGTTATACTCTCAATCCTACATAACTAATCTCTCCAGCTTTACGTGTCCCCGCCTCTTGAGCATTATGTAGCTTATTGTTTATTCAGCGAAGGTATATACATAACCATGTCGTGGTATTTCCTTCGCAAGCACTCATGTGAGTCGATGTATAGCTGTGCCGATATACACAAAATTATGGCAAGGTCGCGAGTCCCAAGTACTTGAAAACAGCGTAGAAGCAGCATATCACCATGTTTATTGGTGAGATTGAATCGGTGTAAAATGTAAAAAAGAAGTCATGAATTAGCGGATATCGCTTTTCCTTTGTGTGCAATACAAATTGCATGTAGACTTACTTTGTCATCAAAGTCGTTCTTAAATCATAGCTCTAAACAGCGTTTATTTGTTTATTTATTAAATTATTAATAAATTATTAAATTATTTATTTATTTCATCATACTCCTGCCCGAAGGTGCTGGCCGAAAGCAGGAGGGGCATAAATACATACCAAGATTAACAGAATAAGCGTATCCAGAGTTGACGCATTCATAAAAGGCTGTTACAAACAATTGAACGTACAAGAAGCATCCTGATAACATTAAAACTTGCATATATCAATTTTATGCTTCCTTTCCCATAGTTTTTGTTTTTATTCATGCAAGATTTAATGTCGTTATATACCGAACATGGCTACGAGAGCATTTAGTTTTTTTTATACTTAGATAGTGACATTTATTGTATTCGTGTACAAACAATTTCATCAGAGATTACACGAAAATGAATTCCGCCATTTGCTTGCGTCAGGTCGGGAGCGCTAAACAGCACGTTCGTGTTGCTTGACGGATAAGTAACGATTGACCTCCTCATTCGCTAACTGCAGGCAAAGTGAGCTTCGAGAAGCTGACCAACCTGGACTTTGCGGGCAGCGCGTACTACACCATCCGCAACCTGTCGCTGTACGAGTGCCAAGGCTGGTGCCGTGACGAGAAGGAGTGCGTGGCGGCTGCCTTCAGCTTCGTGCTCAACCCTCTGGCGCCTCAGCAGGAGACCACCTGCCTGCTGCAGAACAGCTCGCAGGCGCGCAAGCCCACCGCCAGGCCCCAGAGAGCCGTGAACCTTTACTACCTCGTCAAGAACCACATACGCTCAGGTCAGTCACACTGAGTGCCAGGAAGTGAGCCTTTTCAGCGCCAACAGCTTTAGGTTGATCGCGGGGTTTCTCACGTTCGCGTGCGCAGAGAAAATCTGCGACCGGCTATGGTCGTTCGAGCGGTTCCCCAACAAAATGGTGCGCGGCCACGACACGGCGGTGCTCTTCACGGCCAGCAAGGACTCGTGCCTGGCGGCATGTCTCAACGAGGACCGTTTCGTGTGCCGCTCGGCCGAGTTCAACTACGTCACCCTGCAGTGCCACCTGAGCGACGTGGACCGCCGATACGCGGGCGTTCAGGAGAAGTATGGGGACGCAATCGGCGTCGACTACTTCGAGAACGCCTGCCTAGAAGGTGCCTGACATTTTTTTCTTCGTTCTTTTCTCATCCGGTGGCCTCGTCGCTAATGAGCTCACGGGCTTGAACATCTTGTCAATGTTACCAGTCTGCCACCAGGCCCACTGTTGCTTTGTGCGAACGCGTTTCTCTTCTCTTTTCCCATTCCTCCACTGTACGCTAGCCAAACAGACATAGTTCTAGTTAACCTCCCTTCCTGCCTCATTTTCTTTTCTTTTCTGGACAAAAATGAAGACGGCTGCGTGGCAGTGCTTGTTGAATGTGCAACAAAGCCCTCCTTAAGTAGGGTAGGGGGAAGGGGTAGATGCAATACCACTTTTTTTTTTTAAGTTGATTTGTCACTGCATATTTACCTTCTCTGTTCTCGTTCGGATTGTTGCTCTCTTTGAGTGAGTTCTGCTATTTAACCTCAATTTCAGCAGGTTCCAAAAAATAAATGAATCATTTTAAGGGTGTACTCATGCACTGTTTACAGGCTGACAAGTCGACCTATAGTATCCTTACTTTTTTGAGCACTTCGAGTAAATTGAATGTTTGTCTTCTTACATGTGGCAGCAGTTAGCGTTAGGCATAACTGAACCCCCGCCCCTTCCAACTCCACAAAAAAAAAAAAACTCTTGCTGATTGTGCTGCGTCATATTTTGCCTCTAACAGCGAGCGCCGTCTGCTCGGGAATGAGGACGTACGACTTCGCTCAAGTGGGAGTGTCACAAGACGTGGTGACGCATTACGTAGATCTCAACTTCTATCCGGACAAGGAACTGCTGGTAAGTGTAGCCTCGTGTTGGTGTATTTTGAACTTGGAATTGCAATTTGCTGGCATTCAGCTCAAAGCGAACAAGGTTAGAGAATAAAGGAGTTGCGCCTCAACTTTCGCGTGTCATTGATGACACCTTCCTTTCCATTTCTCCATACCTATGCTGTCGACAACCTTGCAAACTCACTCATTTCTGGTATAGCGCGTGCGAAGCTTGCGACTTTTGGCCGGCCAAGACTCATGAGTGACTCTAATTGTTATTTGTACTGATTGTGTGCCTCCTTTTTTTTTCTATACAGCGTTAGGCATTATGACGTAAGTTCGTTCACCTGTGGATGAGGAGATGAGACGCAGGAAAGGGTGAAGAGAGTTGCAGGTCAATATGAACCGTGTCTTGATGGGATTTATAATATCGGATAACGAAGAGCTGCCCATATAAAATATGCGGTTATAATTATCTGTCCTGATTGCTGGTGGTGCTGCTGAGAATATGTGCCGCACCGAATACTGTGACGCTGGGCGTATTTTATCTCTCCGGGTGCCCCAGCCTGAAAAATATTAGGAAAAAAAGGGGGAGGAAAATAACGATGCAAATAAAGACAGCGTGCTCTTTCTTACCAACACCGGCATGTACTTTCTGCATAAATTGAAATGAGTTGAAATGTACGTTATTGTTTTGATGATGATGATTGATATGTGGGGTTTAACGTCCTAAAGTCACCATATGATTATGAGAGATGCCGCAGTGGAGGGCTCCGGGAATTTCGACCACCTGGGGTTTTTTAATGTGCATCCAAATCTGAGCACATGGGCCTACAGTATTTTCACCTCCATCGAAATACGTTGTTTTGCTTTCAACGCGCATATGAGTGGATATTTCCGCTGTGTATCAAATGAATAAAACTAATGAAAGTCAGAAAAAAATGGATTGAGTTTTAATAAAAGCTTTGTTTTTTTTTTTTATTTTTTGCAGCTTATGAATTACAAGGCGAGAAGATTGCCGTAGAATACAGATTTTTTGTCCTCTCCGTGTAGCATACAAACATGGCGAATGTCATCAGTTTAGTGAACCAAGGAATATGATTACAGGCCTTTTGTGGTGCATTTCACTTCGAATTTTTTTTATGACGGATGTCTTGCCAATTGTTGCACAGATGATGCTTACACTGCTGCTGCTGATGATGATGATGATGATTTGTAATGGTAACAATGTTTACACTTGCTGGATCATTGATCACGCGGCCAGTTCTTAACAAAAACATGTCTCCTCTTTATTTATTTATAATTTCTTTTCGGATACAAGCCACTAATTCTATCATGTGCTGTTATCTAAGTCTCCAACAACTCCGATTCCATTTGTCTCTTGCATGCTTGTTTTTTTTCTTCACAAATATTACAAACGTCTCCAGCTTATCTAAACCACTGACCAGTTAATTCTGCAATTAACTTTGAAATCCACAGCTTCCGAAAATAAATTCACGGGTCCCGCCTTCAACTGTTCTTGTTTGAATATACCAGCATTGAAATTTAGCATGTTAGGTTTATTCCGGTCGTTCCTTTCAGCAGATGCAAGCCTAGTTGTGTCGTTATTGTTTTCAGGCAGCCTGCTAGCAATTCAAATAGCAAAGCGCTGCTCCATGTGTACATGACTTCAGTGTCAAAAAGAGTGGCAACTCGTGATTGTGCCTTCCATGGCGAGCAAAGGCAGAAGACAACACCGAGAACATAAAAAACGAACTTGTAGCCCTTGCGTTCACTTTCTCTGCCTTGAATAGACGGCCTCTTTCGGTTGTAGTGGAAAACAAAAACAGGCTCCTTAACTCGTGCAACAGTGCAGGGAAGTTGCTAGGTGGGTGACGATATTGTTCGATGGTGTTTTCTAATGACAAGGTCACATGCACTCGACGATGGTTGCCTTTTTGCATTCAAAGTAGCTTATGTAGGATGACCATTAAAGTAAAAATGTTATTAAAGTTCGTTCTTCCATCTGGGAGCGCTTTTTAGCGACTAGATTACAGCCTCAAGCTGCTGCCAGCGACGTCACCACCCTGAGCTTATATACAAGTCCGTATCCAAAATTGTGAACATATCTTCGTGCTGCTCAGGCAACGCGCGACGTTACTACTCGTCGACTCGTTTGAGTTCATTTACGTGACGATGTTTAAAAACAAAGAAATCTTTCAGTGTTAAAATCATTAAACGGCGAAAGACGTTCACGAAAGTGTTCCGTAAAGTCTTACTGTTAACACATCTTCTGCTGTCTTTTGTTTTTTGTTCCTCTATTGTGTTTTTAGCATTGCAGCTAATGTATCACGAAGTGTGACGATAGATAGATAGATAGATAGATAGATAGATAGATAGATAGATAGATAGATAGATAGATAGATAGATAGATAGATAGATAGATAGATAGATAGATAGATAGATAGATAGATAGATAGATAGATAGATAGATAGATAGATAGATAGATAGATAGATAGATAGATAGATAGATAGATAGATAGATAGATAGATAGATAGATAGATAGATAGCGTCATTCTCTGTTCCGCAAGCGCTAAAGTGGCCTGTGCTTACTGAGGCCACGTCATCACACCTGACTGCTGACCTGCGGCGACTCTTCAGCGCCGCATTCGTAGAACGCGAGCGCGAGCCTAACCGAGCGAGCGGACACGCGGTATTTCCGGATCGGACGTCTCGGTGCGGGACAACGGACGATCTTGACCGTCAGGCGTGGCTGGACAAGAACGCTTCTTTTTTGCCACTGACACGGGCGTTTCACGCCGCTTCAGTTCACCGCACACCTCTTTGCGCGGTGGTGGACCACGCACAAAAGACAGCTGGGTAAACGCGTCCGGCGCTGCCGATCAACACCACCGAGACGGCGTTTAGGTCAAGCGAGAGCGTGAAATAACGGTGCGTGGCGCCGTCGGCCCGTGGGCAGTGCGCGCGCACCTCTCCGAGCGTTTCGGTGGATGGGCCGACGTCCAACCCACCGCTTCGACACCAGTTGACCGCGTCAAGAAGCAGTCATTTTCTTCGTGCTAGTGTCTCTGCCTGGCGCTGTAATCACCGCAACTTACCTTTACCCGTGTGTCGGGTCCCGTCGTCACTCGCTACGCGCTCTCGCCTGCACTTTCTTCTCGCGAACGTGTTCCCCCTCATGGCGTATTGACAGCGAGATCGAGCGGAGTCGCCGCCTGGCGGCTACTGGCTGAAGCACGCCTAGTTTGTCATGGCCGTGCTGAACTATACCAGCGAGAGTAGGTGCAGTCTAGCCTGGCTGCGAGTTTGTATGGCTCCCATGGTCTTCTCATCGCGGTGTGTTGAAATGTATTCAAAGGGTAGTTTGTTCTGTTGTATTAGTGCAATATCAACAGCCTGTACGTATAGCTATCACGATGTACAAGAGCATGTGGCTTTACTTGGCTGTTAATCCACTGTAATACCATCAGTTAGGGCAGTTGTCGAAATTGCTGTATGTCCCCATAGGCCGAGAGTATGGGGGTGCGGGGAGGGCTCTCAGTGGACTGCCACGTGGGGGGCACAGACTCTCTAGGCTCTGGCCCGGGATATTTTTTTAAAAGCTTCGCTCAAGTCTCTGTATTCTGACAATGGACTGTTGACCGGCCATTCTGGCAGTTATTTCACAGGAAGTTGTTTATGCAAGCTTTTTCGTTTCAGCTGGCATTTAAAGTTTGTATTATGAGACAATATCCCGTCAAACATTTTGGAAAAAAATGCTTCTCAAACGAATTTGTATGCACAGAATATATTGTTGCTGATGAACAACTGAAGCGACTGCTTAAGCTATGACAAATTAAAAAGTCTTGAGCCACCATTCGAATGGAAATGCTACGGAGAATATAAGAATGCAAAAACAGTCCTGACACAGTCAGTCAGTGAACAGCCTTGTACAGACTCGTACGCCAATAAATGAAAGGGTAATTTTTTGGTTGTCAAAAAATTGGTACCCTTCTACATGCCTGCCTGCAATAGTGCCGAAAAGGTCGTGAGAATTTCTTTTATTTATGAGCAAAAGTTTTTACTACCGGTTCGGTGACAAAAGAGCAACTCAAATACTCATTGAGAAAACAACCTTTGGTGAAGAAATTCGTAACCCTAGCTTTGCGCACGGTGTACTGATAGCAAATGGTATTCGCTACCAGTTGAGAATTATTTTGACCATCTTAAATTGACAAAACTATAATGGTCTGTGCCAGCAGCAGCTTATACTCTCTGCTGTCTGGTGCTTTAAGAAAGTAGGTAAATCATGCCAATAAAAGGAGAAATTCTATGTAGAACTGCATAAGAAAAGTATACAGAGTCGCATATGTGCACTTATTGTACAAAGTGCTCTTCGGTAGCCACACGAGAAAGCCGCGAATCAATCTAGTCACAAAGCAGCAGTGCATAGTAGAGAGAGCACAAGCTAAACTTGTACAAATAAACCAAATAAACGTCATATACTGACAAAACGCCGACTTTCACCGAGGGCGCACCTCGTTCGTTGGCGGATTGCGCGTCTCTTGCTCGTAAAACCACTGTCCAGCAGGCTACCTGCATCAATTTGGCAATGAAGAACGTACACATCCTCAACAGCGTGTAATCAATGCGTTTTATTTGCCAAAAAATAGGGGACCCTGAAGCTTCGCCTATAGTAGTAGGACGCGATAGCGACATCCTGCTCCGAGTTCGTATACACTTGAAACACTTCGTGCACAAAACTTTTCAAATTTCTAAGCACCCACTTCGTGGCCTTAAGAGAATAGACGCAGTAGCGTGTGTGCCTTTTGTAGTGAGGTACCGGCTTTCAACGATGGATGCATTATGAGAATCACATATTCTGACACCCGTTGGCAATAGACGCATGTACCACGCATTATCACTGCGATAGTTCATGTTGCATTGTGAAGCATGTATACAGGACGCGTTTGTTTGTGAGGCATGAAAGCTACTTCCATTGTATTTCCAAGCAGAAGAAGTTCTTTTCACTGCAGTGTTTTCACGAGCAGAAGCGTGGCCGTGCGCTACCAGACATCCGCTTCCCACGCAAACGGCGCGGGTTCGACTCCCACTCGAACCCAAATGACCCTGTTTCGGTCCCCCCTCTGGCTCTGCATTTTTTATTTAAATTGGTCTCGATTTTTCGGTCACACATAAGATGATAATTTTTCGCTCACCACCAACGACACCAACTGCGGAATTTCTGTGAAACGAGCTCATTAACGCTATCGTGTTAGTAATCGGCTCACACTGCCTCTGATGAAGCCCTGCTGTGCACGTTTGTATACGCGCGGCCGTAGCTCCTGTAGTCAGGTTTATTAGCGGTTACAACAGCAAAAGCCACAGCTTACCACGCACGGTGTGGTACCGAGCAGCGGGTTGAGACTCGTTACACCTACTTGATTAGAAATGTGGGAAGGGGCTTTTTGCAGAAGCGGAATAGTCGCCGACACGCCGGGAACCGGAGTGTAAACAAGATATTTTATAACAATGATGGTGCCTTCAGACGGACGTTACTTGTTCGAAACACGATATCGTATGAAAAAAAAAAAATCAGGAAGACGAGAAATAGAAGTCACAATAGTTGAAACTGTGGCATACCGTGTCATGTTGCCAACTTTCACATCGGTTTTAAGTCCAAGAACAGCTGCAGAAAGAAGCATGCTCTCACGCTTGGACTGGACGCTACTGTATTATAAGTGTGAGAATAATGCAGTCGAGCCCACAAATTTTTCACTTTCGACTTTACAATGTTTGCTTACGTGCGCACGTGGTAAAAATCAATTTATTCCTACTAGGACTTTTCGTAGCAATGTTTCTGTTTTACTTTTCTTCTGAGCTTGAAACTATGTACTCAAATATATCTTTAAAGCGTTGAGTTCAATAACCATAAAGCTTCCAGCTACATTGCTGACGTCGAGTGACAGAGCAACAACGCTTTGGTCACACAGCTATTAAATAATTCACATGGTGTGGAAGAGCATAGCATTAGTAATATTAATATTTGTGAGGGTTTACGTCCAAAAACCACTATTTGATTATGAGAGATGCCATAGCAGAGAACTCCGGAAATTTCGACCACTTGGGGTTCCTTGACGTGCGCATAAAATCTAAGCACATGGGCCTCAAGCATTTTCGCCTCCATCGAAAATGCTGCTGCCGCGGCCGGGATATTAACACGCGACCTGCGAATCAGCAGCCTAGGCCTTAGCCACTAGACCACCGTGGCGGGTTAGCGTAGCATTAGTGAGTGGGCGGTAGCATGCGTGTTTATTAAATGCGTATCATTTTTTTGAGAAATAGACACTTTGACATTTTTCTCATCTATCTATCTATCTATCTATCTATCTATCTATCTATCTATCTATCTATCTATCTATCTATCTATCTATCTATCTATCTATCTATCTATCTATCTATCTATCTATCTATCTATCTGTCTGTCTGTCTGTCTGTCTGTCTATCTATCTATCTATCTATCTATCTATCTATCTATCTATCTATCTATCTATCTATCTATCTATCTATCTATCTATCTATCTATCTATCTATCTATCTATCTATCTATGAGATAGATATCTATCTATCTATCTATCTATCTATCATTATTTTCGGGCAATTAGAAAATAGTTACAATTTGGCTAGTTGTTAATAAACCTGATATCAGAAAGAAATGCTGATAACACTGCTGGCTCAAGATTCAAAGCAGCAAGAAGTAGTTACAACTTATTGCCGCAGAATGATACATGCTTTTTTTAGCTTTTTTTGTTTTCAGTATTTATGCGAGATATCTGGGTAAATATTGCCAGAAAAGCAGCTGAGCCAGCCATATAAAACGTGTGGCTGCTTTTGTGTCTTAACATAAGCTGTATAGCGGTGCTGTCCTTACAACAACCGGGAGTTGAACTAATCTGGTCAACGATCCACGCGTGAGTGCTGCATGGCCTGGGATCTTTGACACCAGAAGCTTTGTCGCCAAACACCACGTAACAGACGCTGGTGTCGTGCACAGGTGAACAGCAAGTCGGAGTGCCTGCGCGCCTGCACTGTGGACAACGACTTCGTGTGCCGCTCGGTGCTGTACAAGCCTAGCCAGGACGGCGCCATGCAGGGCTCGTGTTCAGTCTTTCACGTCGACCACCTCATGCTGCCCGACGGGCCGGCCACTTTTGCGGGCTCGACCCCACCGCTGCCGTTGCTGGACACAGGCGAGACCAAGGGCATCTACCTGGAGTCTCGCTGTACCAGTGAGTGTGCGCTAGCGTCCATGGACGGGTCAACATAGTGTAACGTTTATAGTGGTTCGCTTGTGGTGTCTAGTGAAGAGGTATATGGCTGTACAAATAAAATAAGGAAATGAGTAAGTATGACGAGTGCCGATGTACCACTTAACATTATACAGCTGGTGTCCTATGGTTAGAATTAATCAGAAGCTGCACATAATCTATTTCGCGTCTGGCAACCAGGGATGTTTATTGTGCGTGGCTGGAATCTGGGCGTGTCATTTTTTATCACCATTGTTTCATGCCTAGTAATTGATTCCGCGCCGAGGTTGCGGTCAGGCTAACCACCGTAGCTCGCCGAATGTATCGTTAAATGTGGGTGAAGCACATACAAACAAAGCAAAATAGAAACATCATTCGCCGTGCCTGTGTTTATGGCGCATTCAAGTGTGCCGCACGTCTTCGGGCGAGGACAACGCCGCAGCTAAAGTCGACGCTGACCCGGCCTCTTACTACAGCAGCAGGCGGCTGCAGACACTGCTATCCCGTTCACGTGCGAGCCAAGTGTCCACCGCGGCTGCTTTATGTGCGCTCTGCCTGGCCCCGCATGTGCGTTGGCTGACACGATGCATGTCTCCCCTTCGCGTGTTGCTCGCAGACAGCACGAGGCAGTACACGGCCAAGCCCGGCACACTCAAGAGTCCACCAAGCGAAACGAGGACGTCAACCAAGTCACCGGTCTTCGCCGACTCGCCTGACCCTTCGTGCGACGCCTACGGGGTGTGCTACGACGGTGAGCGTGCGTCTGTCTTCGTCCGGCAATTAAGCGACTCTCTTTTGATGACCTTGTACGTTGTCACATATTAACGGTCTAAAGAATGCTACGTCTGAAAAAACTGGAGCCGTTCTTTACGACCGTGTTGAGTCGGTCATGTTTATAGCTATATCTCAACGTACTTCACGTTTAATAACAGACAAGTTGTCTTTAAAAGCATCTCCGCAGGTTAGTTATACCCTATCGAGTGGTATGACCATGCGCGTTATCGATTTGCCCACATAGCCAGTAAAGTGCCGCGATTGTCATGTTGTTACATAGAGTCGTGGATCATGACAATATTTTCATGTGTAGCAGCATTTTGTGTGGGGTTGTATAGCGGCCGTCTTACAACTTTCTTCCGTTCTTTCCTATGCAGCACCTGTTTGAGAAAGCTTGACATCTTTCGGTAGAATTTAATTTGAAAATGCAATTTAACAAACTATATAGCTGTAAAAAAAAAACTTTGGTGGGTACAAAAACTTCCCGGAGTGCCTCATGTTGCCAAATAATTGCCAATGCTCCAGCTGCGTCACATTTTCTCCGTGAAACCTGCAAGCTCTCTCTTTATGTCGTCTTCTTCATCATCATTGTCTTTATCTTCTGTTTTGCGGTCAAAACATGTGCGCCGATTGCTCCGTCGAGGAATGCAATGACTGGTGGTTGAGACAACAAGTACAATACTAGAGCAGCAGGGAAATTCTAAGGGAAAAAATCGGCCCCGTATCTACATGTTATATACACTGCAAATGTCGTCGAAAGACGATAGTCTTGCGTCTGGAGAGAGTGAACAAAACGTTTATTCGATGTTCTGCGCAAGAAAATCGCTGAACGGTATTCTGGTGACGCTGCGTTAGAGTACCTAGAGTGTGCAGCGGAGGCGAATGAGCGCATCAAGTCACGTCACACGTGTGACATGAGCGCTATCTGGCAGTTATCTTGTAAAACGAAGCGCGTGCGCCCTGGGTACCCGTCTCAGATGTGATAGCGTGTAGAACGCAAGGCGACGGGTAGGTGCCACCACCCTGTCGTCTTAGCAAAGCGTTCGAAACACTTGTCTTTTCGTGCAAGCGTTGCCTGGTCAGCGCAACGTGATAAACGCTACGGTCCTTATAATTACTTATGTATGCTTTTTTCCAGCGAGGGAAACACATGCAGATTGTTGACGTGCTCATATGGTGCCTCAGATATGCGCAATAATTGCGTTTTAATTGACAATCACACAAGTACGAACGCTGCATTTTGCGCAATATTGGTGGGCGCTGCTGATTGGGGTCGGCCGTTCAGGGTATCGTTTAGCCACTTTAGTGCCGTTTAGGGTACCGTTTAGGACAGAAAGACAGACAAATGTACAGAGAGACAGACCGAAACTTTTGCGTCGAGGGTCCCCAAGAAAGACTATCGTCTTTCGAAATTATTTGCGAGGCCAGATTACCCGCGTACCGACAGTCCAACAGCAAGCGTCCTAACCTTGCCCCGCCGCGGTGGAATAGTAGCTAAGGTACTCGGCCGCTGACCCACGGTCGCGGGATCAAATCCCGGCTGCGGTGGCTGCATTTCCGATGGAGGCAGAAATGTTGTAGGCCCGTCTGCTCAGATTTCGGTGCACATTAAAGAACCCCAGGTGGTTGAAATTTCCGAAGCCCTCCACTACAACGTCTCTCATAATCATATGGTGGTCTTGAGACGTTAAACCCCACATATCAATCAATCAATCATGAGGCCCAGCCATGGTGGTCTAGTGGCTAAGGTACTCGGCTGCTGACCCGCAGGTCGCGAGATCAAAGCCCGGCTGCGGCGGCTGCATTTCCGATGGAGGCGGAAATGTTGTAGGCCCGTGTGCTCAGATTTGGGTGCACGTTAAAGAACCCCAGGTGGTCGAAAATTCCGGAGCCCTCCTCTACGGTGTCTTTCATAATCATATAGTGGCTCTGGGACGTTAAACAACACATATCTATCAATCAAGCGTCCTAACTTTAACTCGGCTCTCCAGGCATGCTACCAGAGTATAACATAGCCTTGTATAATGTAATATAAGAAGATAGTAGGAAAGGAAGTGCGGGTGAGGAAGACGTAGGGGAGGGTGAAAAGGAGGGGAGAGTAAAGCCGAGCATGAAAATAAATAGAAAGGCGTAGGGAGAACAAAAGACGGAAAGAAAAGGAGATAATTATAAAGCATCAAAGTTTGAGAGACAAAGAAAGGAAGAACGATGAAAGCGACAAATACAGAGGTAGAGAAATAAAGGTAAAAAAGGCCGAGAAAGAGAAAGAAGTACAGAGAGAGAAAGAAAGAAATAGAAATAAGCAGAGGCAAGAAATACACAAAGAACTGAGAGAAAAAGAAACACAGAAAGAAAGGAAGAAAAAACTTGCAACACTTTACGAAACAGCAACAGCCATGACTACCTATCAGCTCTGCGCCCCGCCGCGGTTCTCTAGTGGCTAAGGTACTCGGCTGCTGACCCACAGGTCGCGGGTTCGTATCCCGGCTGCGGCGGCTGCATTTCCGAAGGAGGCGGAAATGTTGTAGGCCCGTGTGCTCAGATTTGGGTGCACGTTAAAGGACCCCAGGTGGTCGAAATTTCCGGAGCCCTCCACTACGGCGTCTCTCATAATCATATGGTGGTTTTGGGATGTTAAACCGCACATATCAATCATTACCTATCAGCTCTGCTGCCTTATTAGCAATGGACCTCCAGGGCAAGCCACGCTGATTGTTTTATTTTCTCGCTTATTAACCAGCCCTGTTGCAATATATACAGTAATCCTCCACCTAGCACGAACTTTCTCCCTCGACTCTCAAAACATTTGTTGGTCACGCTCGTCATCCCCTCCCCTAGTTGCAGAAGCATGGGGAGGGGACGCCGCATGCATCGACTTCATAGGAAAAGGGGTGCTGAAATGACCCTCCCCCCTCCTTGAAGGGAACCTAGCGAAAGGTTATGGTGAGGCATTAAGACATAATTATTAAAAAAAAAAAACACGGACACGCACAGGACTAGATGTAACGCCATGTCATGCGATTTCTGTGTCCCGTTGTCACGCTGTTCGCATTTGTACCACTCAATCTAGCCAGCTAATAATATATATATACTGTTAGCGAGAAATGGTGTTACTTTTGCTGAGAAATTGAAGTTACGATATCTTTGATACCTCCAAGTATACAGATGCCTCAATAGGACTGATGACGGCGCTCACAATTCAGCGAACATTTAAATGACTGGTGGTGAGACACTATTGAACTTTCCTTATGAAAGCTGACATGCTTACAAACTTCTTTTATAGTTTTGCGTTAAAAAGTATTTTCTTTTCAAGTAAGACGTAATAGAGCGAAGCAAGTCATGCGGACGTTTGCAGGACACACTCGCTTGCACGTTATATCTCGGGCAAACAGCCGCACTTCAATACAGCGCATGTGCAGCAAACAATTTTTAGCAAGTGGTTTTCCTTCAACGTAATTGAGTTGATTGATATCTGGGGTTTGACGTCCCAAAACCACCATATGATTACGAGAGACGCCGTAGTGGAGGGCTCCGGAAATTTCGACCACCTGGGGTGCTTTAACGTGCACCCAAATCTGAGCACGCCGGCCTACAACATTTCTGCCTCCATCGGAAATGCAGCCGCCTCCACTGAGATTCGAACCCGCGACCTGCGGGTCAGCAGCTGAGCACCTTAGCCACTAGACCACCGCGGTGGGACTTGCTTCAACTTAGAAGCGGTGCATATGGCAGTGGTTGCAGAATTTTGTTACTCCGAAAATGCAGATGAATACAGCCGCTTCAAGCATCTTCAAGCATTTTCTATTGAGAGATCAGTTGGACACTGTAGCGAGGACAGATAGAGAACATATTCTTCCTAAAAATTCTTGTGGTTCCATTTCATTCTACGAAGGTGAGTAAACAGTGAAAATGTAGCACACCATATAGGTCTATAGACTGGTGCACATGTATTTATTTTCAACACTTGGCGATCATAATGATCACCAAGTGTTGCATTAGTGTTGCATTAGTGTTGCAAGTGTTGCATTAGCACTTGCATTAGTGCTAGGTACACTAATTTGTTCGGTTATATGATAGTCTTATAGTGGCCAGAGATAAATTAACATGCTCGATTTCTGTTGTGCAGTCGGGTGACTTGTAATGATGTTTCATTACAAACCAAACTCTTCTACCAACAATTCAACAATTCAGAACCATTGTTTGTCTGGTTTTGGGATGTCCCCTTGAAATCACCAACGGTGATCACCGGGGTTGTGTAATCACGGCTAATCAATGCGAATCGCGTGCTCATAAACTTGTCGACGTCAAACATGGATGTGCCGAGAGTCAGAGAACTGGAATACTTTGTTCGACAGGTGCTGTTGTTCATATATGTAAAAGCAATGACGTAAACCTTGGTCTGGTTGACTGTGTTGTGAGGGGCATATACACGTTTATGTTATTATTATTATTATTATTATTATTATTATTATTATTATTATTATTATTATTATTATTATTATTATTATTATTATTATTATATTAACAACGTCATTGATTGACGCCCGGTATTGCAATATCTCAAGGAATGACCTATGCTCACGTTTTGTTGTTTTTTGAAACAGATGCACGAAGAATACGTGGCACCACATACTGATGCGCTGTCGAATTTATATTGGAAACATCATGCACTTCTGCGGTATTTTCTCTCAACTGTAGTTTTTTCTAGCTGTTTCTTTTTGTATATGTGGTCGAAGTCAAATCAAAACGTGCTTTAGTCTAAAGTCGAAAGAAAACAAGCACAATATGGTCATTTCAGGGCTACTACTGGTCCCCTAAATGCAACGAAAAGAAAAGGATGATTTTAGATAAGCCTGAGACAAAATTGAACTGCAAGACAACAATGTTTACGGAGTAAATAGAAAAAAAAGTTTTATGTAACGTTTATCTAATGGTATTTAAAAATCTAGCACCTGGTGCGCGTGAGGTAAGATAGAA